GTGGTGGATAAAAATGGAACCTATGCTGCAATTTCAGGTTTTCAGAAGGGAGCTAATGATAACTATCTTGTCTCCCCAAGTATAAATTTGGTCCATGCGGTGAACCCTGTCCTTAGCATAGTGCAGACAATTGGCTTATATATATATATACATATACATATACATATTTCTATATATATATATATATAAATTTTACAACCTTGTGCGTAAAATTGCATTGGTACTGTAGCGTGGGCTATGAATAGTCTGGAAGATTTCTCTCTATGCGGCTAAAGAGTAAGCATTTACGGGTTTAGGGTTTGCGTGCGTTATTATCCGATTCAACGCTTATATCGACGGTCGTTTGATTCCTTGCAAGCAGAGCCTGTCCCATGGACGCGACTTCAATATTCAGAGACAGCGTTCATTTATTAGCCAAACTTCGGACGGGAGTACCCAGAATACTCCGCATGGAATACGAAATGCACAGGGAGCAGGTACACTTTCAGCTTGTTTTTCTAAAAAAACTCGTCGTAGTTTGGATGAGGTTTTGTAATATTATTGCGTGCTGGTTATTGACGACGACAATTTTTTGATTCCGTGTAGACTTCAAGAGTCTTTATATTTGCCATGGAACATACCTACGCAAATTTGACCTTGTACCCGAAATTGCCCGCTAAATTCTTTTCGGTAATATAGGTCATGTATAAACAAGTGCTGCAGCATTCAGAACACTTCATAGAACACCTGATTCAAATTGACTTTCATGCTAACGATTTCATCTGCGTAACTGGTGCTGACGTATGTGCATACACATGTTCTCCTTCAAAGAATCAAGTACAATACTAATTTGTAAGATATACCTTCAGATTCAGGGGGCTCGGCAGGTGCCAGTCTCAGTGGCAGTAACAAAAGCCAGACATCCTTCGGTCAAAAGTCGAGCGCCAATTTTTCGCAGATTGTTGGTGGTGATCATTCGAAAGCGTCAGATTCCTCGAAGGTATGTGCAGTCACCACCGTTCTCACCGACGAATAGTACATACCTAACGGAGTGAGGTGAGATGAGCAAGCTGATTGTGGGAGATTTGTTTTGATGATGCTGCAGGTCTTTAAGGCGGTAGAAGATTCTGCAGGGTTACTATGTTACTATCACGATGTCGCACTCTGCGTGTAAACAGTTCAGCTTGGGGATTTTATTCTAGTTTTGTTCTCTATTTTCAATTGTAATATAATGTATCGCGGGTAGGAGCTAGTTCACATACAGATCATGAAAAAGTCATCATACTATAGAATTCAGGAGAACAACAGTCGATGCGCCTGTCCAGATCAGAGTTGGATAAAGTATACGCCTTGGGGGATATAAAAAGGATTGTCAATACTTCGGATTGTCTGAAGCCCATCCGATTGAAATTTTTACTTTGTTAGTCACCTTATACTCTATATTGCTTATTGATCACTGATGTACCGCATACTTGGTTCCCGATCTACATTAAATAGGACTGGAATGGTCGCAGTTCCACTAAGAAATCATTAGTAAATAAGAAACACGGGCGCAGAGCTGCTCCACCCACCCACCGTATACTTGTATGTGGTGCTCCGGGAGTGGGTAAAACTACTATCTCAAAAAAGTTCGTATATGGTGTGACCGATATGGAGGATTCGTGCATGGACGAAGAAAATTACTACAAGGCAATGGCGGTAAGTATAACATGGGCATGATGTCAGAATCGAATCTCTTTGTTAAAGCTAATGTGGATATGTTCCATGCCGCCTTGTCGTATCAACCAAGACATATCGTCTGAGGAAGTGTATCATATAGTGTCGTCACGGTGTGAATATTTTCTTAACGGATGAACTATAGTGGGTATCTGACCTGCAAGTTCACCGAAGGAACAATGTGTTTGGTATATAGTTTTAAATGAAACACTGTTAGATTCAAAACGCTTTCAGAGATGGTTTGCGTACTTATCGTTCTAGAAATTCGAAGTACCTTGGTGCCATATGCATGATATGGTCTCTGCCTCTCACCTCATCGATAGATGTGATTTGCAATTGTTCTACTTTTCCCGAGACTGTCGCGTCACTCAGTGCAAGTCACAGATACTTTTAGTGAATAGTTTGTCAGAAGGGTCACATTTTGGCAAATATTCTAAAATAAAATGTTGATTCTGATGTGTTTCACGACAGGTCGACGGTACTCAACTACGTTTGCAGGTGTCCGACATTTCGGCGTCGCTGGAAGAGGTAACTATAGACTCGAGGTTGTGGTACTGGCCACAGTGATGTTGCGCAGAATATGGAATTGATTTTTACTATAGAGTTTTTTTTCTAAATTTTACTTCTTGTATCGATTTGCTGTTTCTGCAAGTATTTATTCACAATTATAATTCTCTTGACATTGATTATGCAGATTGATGAGTTGGTTTGCTATATGCAGCTTTGCGATGGCTTTCTAGTCGTCTGCTCACTGGCGGACTTGAAGTCTGTACAGTATGCAGAAACATGTATAAATCAAATACACCTATATAATGGTAAGTGGCCTGTGATTTGGTTGTGTATGGTTTGCGATTAATTAGACGACAACGGTCGAGATGTGATTTTTCCTTCGTGATAGTCTCAAGAGTTTGAGGCGCAATGTACCAACTGTATCGTTTGTTCGTCTATCGAGGAATTGCAAACAGCTAAAACACAATCTGTTATACCTCTAATAGCCCTTAGCACAAGATCGTAGTGTCTTGTTCTATACCCTGCTGAAATCAACACTCGTAGATTTTATGCACTGTACAAGGAATAGCACAAGGCAGATGCTCACCTCGTTTGTAATTTCCATCGTTTATCGACGCATACAGGCACCGATTGTCCGGTATTTTTGATAGCCAACAAAGCCGATATGATGGAAGATGGAGATCACAGGGTGAGAAATGAGGCAGCCCAGCTCTCACGTAAATACAGAGTCAAAATGGTGGAAACTGCCTCGCTTACTCGGCGGAATGCCAGTTTTTTCTATGATTTGCTCCGATGGTTCCTTTACGGGTCGTTAGGTATGTGCAAAGACTCGAAAAAGAGAATCTATGTTCATTCAGTTAGGCTTCTAATGCTGATTCCGAGCAACATTCACACTGCCGTATCTGAAGTTTTCACATTTAGTACTTATCGCACAGAAAAGTCTGACATATCGTGCAGCGTGGGTTTGTAGTTATTCTTGGCTGTCGCCCTTGATCGATGAGTGATCTCTTGTCTGTGTGCGAAAGCATCAACGAGCTATTGTGCTTAGTCTATGGTGTACTGTGATGCAGTGTGAATTCAGTGGCTGTGTTATGTGGTTCATGAACGTACATTTATAGAAAAGGTGTCGAAAATCCATCTGTGTAGGTCGCGCACCCATCAAAAACCGGAAGCGCAGCGCTTCAGTGCGAACAACGAAATCGGAGCAAAAACTTAGCGAGACATCATTTTTGTCCACCAATACAACGAGCAATCACACTAGCCCGGCCGCGAGAACAACAAGTTTAGCTGATCTCAAGGAGATGATAAATACAACGGTATGCTGGCTAGATATATTTATGTATTCAATTGTACAAAGCTGTCGTGCGCAAAGCACCGTAGTTGAAAAAGTACAAACTGCGGTTTCAGGTCAATGATGACAATATTATGCGCGCTCCGACTGCTATTACAAAGCAAGACTATCCGGGAAAATCGATTTCTACTTACATTTGATTGCTGGTTTGATTATAATAGTAGATTAATACTAATATGTTTTCTGTTGTGGCATAATTGTGACACTATTCCTGTAGATGGCTAAACAAGCAGTCAACCAACCCGCAAATGGATTGCGTCGATCCCATTCCGATAGTGATCTCTGTAGCCAGAAAGACCGCACCTTGCACATGATTGAAGATGTCGATGATACGCCTCTCGGTGGTGAAAACTCAAGTAAGGATAAAGCCAAAAGCTTTAAGAGTCATTTGGGCCAAAATTCGTGCAATTTCAAAACTCTCACGCCCAAAAAGAAGAAAAGGTCTAGCAGATCTAGATCGGTGAACAACACCCCAGAGATTGAGAAGAAGGACACATCAAGACTAGGCGAGTGGGGTAGTTTCCGGGCTATCCAGCGCGATTCTAATCTGGCAATGCAACTCAAGGAGCTTGAAGAGATTGATACGCAAAACAATTTTTCTACGATTGATACTCTCCGTCGATCCTTCAGGCGCCAGGGTTCATCGGCACTATTGAGTCTCTCCCCGACCACGCGCAGCAGTTCCACCCGTAGGAAGACCCCGCTGGATAGGCACACATCAGCTTACGGTACAAACAATGCCATGAATAGTGATCTGGAGCATGGTGCCGATTTGAGCACTATCTCTGCACCGGCGCAGATTTCGGCGGACGATGACACGGGTAAACCACTTAATAGAGATAAGCGTGGGAGCCGTGGAAGGTCCATCAAGCGCAGTCTGTCATCCGATCGCATCAAAAACCTTCTTGGCGGCAGTCGAGTACAACCAGATAGGGCTCGTTCTGAAGGACGACCGGTAGATGACGCCGACTCGAAATGTGTAAGTGAGGACGGCGTGAAGGAAGGTACAGTCAGTTCTTCATTGTCTGGTACGGTGGAGTTTGGGTACGAGGTCGAGGCAGAGACTGACGCACCATTGGATGTTCGTTCGCCCGAAGAAAGAGTATGCAGACGCACACCCAGCTTCAACGGCAGGCGAAACACACTATACACTCTAGATAGTGTGGGGGTTAGCGGGGGCGATGACAATGGCGCTTCCAACGGCGAGCTCAATGATCAATCTACAGACAAACTATCAGTAATACGTTCGAATAGCGGGTCATGCAATCAAGCATCGGTAGTAGCGGAAAAGCCCAAGTTAGCGCCATATAGGCTAAGGTCTGAAAGTATGGATGCTATTGTCGTAGACTCGGCTGCAAGAGATACAGTCGACACAAATTGTGAGAGTGTAAATGAAGGTCAGTCATTGCAAGCACCTAAAAGCGACGGTTTGCCAAGGCGCCGGAGCTCTATACGATTACTGAAGGATCTTTTCAAAGCTGGGGACAGCGGTAAGGATAGACCCACTATGGTAGAAACAGAGAGTAAGGACAGTTTCACAGCCCGGCTCTCAGCTGCCAATGACAGCGTAGACAATGGTGTTGATCTCGGCCTGCGACATGCCAAGGCATCCGAAAGCGCCACCGACGATAGACCAGACGCGATTCCAATCACCCAGTCGGCGCCGAGTGCTGTGACTAGCACTCGGATCAAAGATGGATCGGATGGTGGAGCTGAGCAGACCAAAAGACAGAATGTAAGCGCGCACGCACAGCATGGCAAGACTCCGCCGTTGAAGAGACGAGGATCGATCCACAAGATTAAGGATATGATGAAGACACGGGGCAAGAAAAAGGGTGCGGCTGGCGAGGTGCATGGCGACAATTCTAGCGATCACGACAGCGGGGGTGTCAATACAACCCATTTGACCACCACAACCGGTGGGGACTAATGGACCATCGCTGTGCTTTTGGAGGGATACTACTGCGAGTCCTAAGAATACTTTTTTCCGGGATGAGCACTGTCTTTGAGGATGTCGGGATATAGTTTTGTATATAGAAGCGATATGTAGTGCCACTTGTATGATGACGTGGCTATGTGTATCAGTTGGAAAGGGAACCAAAACCTGGAATGGGCTGCGCGATTTCACATGCAGCCGAAATTACGACCTTCGAACGGGTTTCATTAAAGGTTTAACCGTTCTTTATCACAGGTGATTTTGTACCAAACTGAGCTGCCAAGCGAAATTCACTTTATTGTGTGCATAGAGGTAAAGTACGGAGAACCATAATGAAGTTTGCTTCGAACTGCTCCTATACAGTTTCACACAACCTATGCAGATCTTAAGCACATGTGTCAGAAACTAAATATAATAAATAGAGCCCAAGGGTTGCACCTACATATATATGCAAGTACATTGGCAGCCATTAAAGTCCAAGTGCCAAAAAAAATGATTCAATACGTACATGATCACGTACTATGTATTCAGTCAGAGATTGTAATCGACACCACTAAAGCTGT